GCTGTGGTGCCATGTTCCCCGGACAGCCTTCAGAACCCAGGGCTCGGCCCTCACCAGGCAGAGGCAATACGTCCTTGTTGGCTCCCACAGCCTGCTGTTTGTTTTCCAAACTGTCTCCTAATCCTTTTAATCTTTTTACATCTCACCTGCCTGCATGCCTGGTGGCTTCAGGCTAGATTTGCAAGTCAGTCGGGAGCTTCTCCCAGAGTGGCTCCCCCCAGCCCCCTCATCCCCACCCCTTCCAGGCTTGGCTGCTTCCCTTCTGGACATCCGGGATGCTGGTCGCCAACTGGGGCCAGGGGTTAGGGGGCTTTATTTCTTCCTGGTTTGTTTGTTTGTTTTTTCACCCTCCCCCAAAGAAATGCTTTTGTCTTGATTTATCTTCTTTTTACGTTTTCTTTCCCAAACTTCTCAACAGGTCACCGTGCACAGGTGGGGGCGGCAGGTGGGGGACAAAGGGAGGGAGGAGACAGGACTTTTGCTAAGTCCCTACCATGTGCCAGAGATGAGCCACATGGACCTCCACTAGCCTCGCACAGTCTGAGGTCAATTGTCATCCTCAGTTACAGGTGAGGCTCTGGAGCCCCAGACACAGAACATCGCTCATGCAAGGTCACACAGGAAAAGGGAGACAGACACTGAATGGGAACCCACATGCCTCTGTCTCTGCAACAAATGACTTGTTGTTTACAATCCCCTCCGAGTTTCATAAAACAATCCCAAGAAGTCTTTTATCTGACGAGGGAGACAAAGAATAAAGGGTGTGCACGGAGGCTGGTGGCAGGCTCTCACATGACAGCTCCGTCTCCAGTTCCCAATCCCCCCACCCCCACTTGCTAATGAAACCCTGATCTTACGGGGCAGTGGGGATGGGGAATGGAAGGAGAGACCCAAAAAGCCCAGGAGGAGAAGACGGATTTAGCAAGAAAGACCAGACTGAGACAATCTCCAAAATAAGCAGAGAGGAGAACGGGGAACAAGGAGAAAATATGGTTCAGGCCGAGGGTCCAGGGGATTCTTTGGGGGGGGGCAGAGGTGAAAAGAGAGGTCTGGGGCAGTGGATGGGAGAGAGCCAGCAGTATTAGTGCAATAAACTCGACGCCCCTCTGTGGCGGTAAAATGTACAGAGAGAATCGAGTGCGTATGTTTAGCATATGCGCCCTCTGGGCGGGGCAGAGGTTTGTACAAGAACATTCTAAGCTTTATTCATCATCGTCAAAACTACCGGTGGCGCACTGCTACAGTGCGCCGCTTGGGAAGCGCGGCGGCGCTCCCGCCGAGGGTNGGGGGGGGGGGGCAGAGGTGAAAAGAGAGGTCTGGGGCAGTGGATGGGAGAGAGCCGGCAGTATTGGTGCAATAAACTCGATGCCCCTCTGTGGCGGTAAAACGTACAGAGAGAATCGAGTGCGTATGTTTAGCATACGCGCCCTCTGGGCAGGGCAGAGGTTTGTACAAGAACGTTCTAAGCTTTATTCATCGTCAAAACTACCCACCAATGGGAGAAGGGGTAAAAAAAAAAAGTGTGATGTATGCATAGAATGGAATCCCACTCAGCAGTCAACACCCAGCTGACAGTAATGGATGCATCTCACCTGCACGTTTATCCGAAGAAGCCCGACACAAAAGAGCACGTACTGGATGATTCTATTTACGTGAAGTTCAAGAGCAGGCAGAAGTCACCAATGGTGATAGAAAGCAGAACACTGGTTACTTTGGGGGTGCAGGGGAGCAATGCTGATTGGAAAGGGGCATGAGGCGATTGCTGGCGATGGCAATGCTCGACGTTCTGGTCTGGGTAGGGGTAAGAGGGGAGACATGCGCATGTAAGCCAGGAGCGGCACTCAAGATTGTGCAGTCTACTGTATGCAAATTATACCTCCATTTTCTTAAATAAATAATAAAAGAAATACAAGAATCTGAGAGTCACATTATATATGCATTTTGATTGCACTTTGCCTAATAAGATTCGGAGAGAAAGAACTAGAAATAGCAATTTAAATAGGGTAGGGGATATTGCCCTCAAGGAGCCTATTTCTGGAGTGAGCATGAACAGGGCGACCTGCTGTCCCCCAGTCTGTCTCAGCTCCCATGAGCTTCTCACCACTGGGGGTGACTCTACCACTGAGGATGAGTCCAGATTAAATTCCTTCGTGTGTGTGTGTGTGCATGTGTATGTGTGTGCGTGTGTGTGCGTGTGCGCGCGTGTGTGCATGTGCGCGTGTGCGTGTGTGTGCGTGTGCATGTGTGTGCGTGCGTGTGTGTGTGTTGGGGATGGGGGAGAGGTTGGCTATGGAGCTTTCCCAAGATTTTTTTTTTTTAACGGTAATACTGGCCATTTACAATGATTTTGGAACCCAACCCTTGAATGAGGTGTGACTGCACCATAAAGAATTTGGGTGATTTAAAAATTATTGTTTTGTTATTCCGCAGACCTTTGACTCTGCTCTGCGAATGAACCTCGTGGACCACAACTTTGTAAACAGTACTAGGCTCTCCTCTCATTCCTGCACCTCCTGCCTCCTCTCTAAGAGTCTGACCGAAGGTGTCCCTGTTGTGACATTCACAAGGCTGTTGCTGACCCATTTACTTTTCCACTAATAATATGTGCATTACTATCAATAGCTTTTATTTCTTGGGAAGTGTTTGTACTCTTGCAACAGCCTGATAAGTAAAATCATCCAACAGTTGGAAATAAGGCAAATAGATAACTGGTGTCCTTTCAAAGTCAAATTAGAGCTGTCTCTAACAAGACCTCCTAAGGGTCATCTGACACTCTAGGGGAATGTCACTTTGCTTGACTTGCTATTTACTATTGATTAGGGCCTAGACTCTGTCTTTTTTTTTTTTTTTTTTTAAAGATGACCGGTAAGGGGATCTCAACCCTTGGCTTGGTGTTGTCAGCACCACGCTCAGCCAGTGAGCTAACCGGCCATCCCTATACGGGATCCGAACCCGCGGCCTTGGTGTATCAGCACCGCACTCTCCCGAGTGAGCCACAGGCCGGCCCCAGGGCCTAGACTCTGTAAAGATAACTGTTAACTAGTAGAAAACTGATAAGTTGCAAACTATTTTTGTCTGGTAAAGATGCAAATGATTTCTTTCCAACAGAGAAGATAACCCTCATATTATGATTTTATTGCCCTCTAGAACGTTAACCACTTTTGTATCTAACTTAGCAATCTCATGAATATTCCAGAATTTTTGTTGTTTTTACTATTTTACTAAATCTCTCTCTCTCTCTCTTCATATATAGATATATATGAAACATTTTTATATCCTTCATTGAATAGCTTTGTCATCCTGTTGGTTTCTTTATTAACAAGCTTCCAAAAAAATTCTGACATGTTCTTGCTCTATATTTCTATAAGAATTGTGTATTTAATATTTTGAAAACCACACTTTGAGATGCTTTTCATGGTATCTGATTTTTCTTCGTGCTAATTCTGCCCCTCTCGGTGTGACCTTGGGAAAGCCCTTCCGTCTCTGGTCCTTCGTTTCTTCATGAATAAAATGGGGGAGGTGGGGCTGACCCTCTGACTCTGACATGTCATGTTTCTAACTCCTTTGCTGGGAAGCAAAACTGACATGATGCCATCAAAGAAGATGATGCTAGAAGGGATGTTAGAGACTACTTGGGGCAACCTTCTTGCCTCCCACCCACTCCATCTTGGAAGATGGAGAAAGAGAAGCTCATAGAGATTGCATAAGTTGCCCGAGGTCACCAAAGTATTATTCATAGTGATGACTGACTTTAATGCAGTGTTTGGCCGTATAAACTTCCTCATAAATTCATATACTCCCTCAGTAAGCCAGTGAGGAGACTGTGTATGATCCCCATTTTACAGATAAGAAAACTGAGGTCCAGAGAGTGATGTGACATGCCCAAGGTCACATGGTAAGTTCGGTATGATCTGAGCCAGTGAGATTTCAGCTCTACTAACTTCCTGAATCCCAGGGAGCAGGGAAGGGGCTCTGGGCTCCAACCCTTCAACAAAAGCATCTCTATTTATATCTGTTTGATATACATGGGTACTTCACAAAGTTCGTGGAAAGATTTGTATTGTCTTCTATTTTTTTCACAAACTTTTTGAAGTACCCTCATATATCAGATGACATGAAAGTTTGCAAATGAAAAAAGAATCTGTGTATAACAGCCTTCTCTTTTTCCCTATGAGAAAATATTCAGGAAAAAAAATGAAACAAAAACACACTTATGGGGAAACACAGAAAGATGTGGTCAGCCTAGGCCATCTAAAGAAAAGTGTTCTCAGGGTCCAAGCTGACAGTGATGCAGTGTGCTGTGCTGGCAGGTAGTGAGCACCCCATCCGTGAGGGTGAGCAAGGCTGGAAGATCCAGTCAAATGCTAACAGCAATTACCTCAGGATGGTAGAATTCACTGGCTTTTGTTGCTGTTTTTTTTTTAAGTGTTGATAAAAGCTGATGGTTAAGTGTTAATTACGTGTCAAGTGCTTTGTATGTGTATATCACTAAAATGTTGTAATAATCCAAAGAAGTAGAATCTGTTGTTCCCAATTTACAGATGAGAAAACTGAGGGTCCAGGAAGTTAAGCGACTTCCCATAGACACGCAACATGACAAGTATAGAAACTGATTGTTGTGTTTTTTTTCTCCTCCCCAAGGTACTGTTCTTTCTTCGTGTTTTCCAAGCTTTGGGCAATGAACACATGTTGCTTTCATAATCGTGAAAAAGTCCTACAAGTTACTGCTTTTAAAAACGATTCCTTCTGCCCACCCTGATGTTCTGTGCTTCTCTGGTTCTCACAGCCCCTCCTAGCACCCCCCCACCCCCATCCTGACAGCCTTGCTGTCCCTGCCCCCACATCAGCTGTGGGTGCGGTAGGACATCCAATGGCCCAGTCTTGCTGAGGTTTGCTCAAAATGTCCCTGGCGGGCTTCTGGTCCCTGAGGAAGTTGAGGGGGCCAGTCCAGAGAAGGACAAGGGGAAGTGGGAAGGGATGTGAAACTTGCACAGCCTGGTGCCACTCCTGCTGGGTATCCCACAGGGGTCCCCGGGCGGAGGACAGGAGCACCCAGCTGGAGTTGAAACCAGAGACAGGTGAGGCCACAGCCTGAGAGGGAGGGGGCTGTGAAGTTTGGGGAAGCAAGAGAGCTGGCCCAGGGGGCTGGACAACTGAGGCAGGAGGGAGGGAAGATATCACTAGCTGGTTCTGTGCCAGGGCTTGGATGGGGTGGGGGGCATTGATCCAGGACCCAGAAAGGGTGAGTGCTGGGACCTTAACTCCTTGGGCCGGAGCTTGGGGGAGCATGGGAGGTGGGGACACAGAACCATCAACTCTAATTGGAGCTCCTGATGGGAAAAAGCTGGGGGTGCCAGAGTCCCTCAGTGGGACACAGCATCAGGGGCCGTGGGGGGACAGCCATCCATCCATCCTTGGCTAGAAAGGGGCCAAGCATGTAGAAGAGTAAGCAGATGTGTTGTGTTGGGTGTTAAGTGAATTGCTGCGTGTACACACAGCTCTGCCGTCTGGGTGAGAGAGAGTTAATTAAATAAGGAGCCGGCACTCAGTAAATATTTGTTCAATGAAATCGATCACCTGTGGGAGTGTATGAATGTGGTGAGTGAGGGATACAGCCTATTTGGGTATCCGTTTGTGTGTCTCTAGGTGTGTGCAGTGGGTTGTGAGTTTGCATACCATGTTGTGTAGTGTGTGGGTGAGAGGCTGTGTTTGTGCATCTGAGTGTGGGACTGTGGGTGTGCTCAGTTGCATGTGTATTTCTGTGTGAGTTTGCGGTTCTGTGTCCATGTGTAGGGTCCCTGGAGCCGGATGGAGGGTGGACCTCAAAGACCCTCGAGGGCGTGTGTGCATTGGGGTACATATAGATCATGTGCGTGGAATTCAAGCATGTGAATCAAGTGTACATGAGTATGTGACGTCCAGTCTGCCCAGGCTCTGCCTGTGTCCCGTCCCCACAGTGACACCATGGAGGCCTCTTGGGGATGGCTCGTGGTCTGTGTGCTGGCCATATCCCTGTACTCTACGATGACTCAGGACGTGTGCCAAGCACCAAACGGCAAGGACGGAGCTGCAGGAAAACCCGGCCGACCCGGGCGGCCAGGCCTCAAGGGGGAACGAGGGGAGCCGGGTAAGCACCCTCCCTCTGGACCTCCAGGGTGAGGTCTTGGGGGTGTCACAGAGAAGCAGGAATCCCGCTGGGCCACCACATGAAGCCCCTCCAATTTGCACTTGGCCCCAGGGGCAGAGGGGCCTTTAGCCTTCTCCCTGGGTCATGTCCCCAGGCTCCCAGGCCTCTCCATGTCCCCCTTACTGCCTGGATCCTCTTTCTTTGGCCTCACCTTTTTTTCATTGTTCAGTTACCAGATTTTAGACTCAGGAGACCCTGCCTTGCTGTGTGACCTCAAGCAAGTTGCTGACCCTCTCTGAGCCTCAGTGTCCTCATCTGTAAAATGGAGGAATAACTCTGCCTGTCACATAGAGAGGGATCAATAATAAACTGCAACTATCTTTTTTGCTTCTTTCCAGCACCTCCAACTCTGTTCCTGCTTCCCTCTCTCAGCCCCTCAGGCTTCAGAAACTCACATTTTAGAAAAAAAGGCTGGGGTTAATGGAAAAGGGAGAAAGTCATGACCAGTGTGGGAAAGTCTCCTGTAATCCCCCTGAGCCTCCCGGTCCATAACAGACCAGAAGGGTATGCACAGACATTTGCGACAATTTGCATCCTGCCATCCTATATTTGGAAAAGGGAGAAAGTCATGACCAGTGTGGGAAAGTCTCCTGTAATCCCCCTGAGCCTCCCAGTCCATAACAGACCAGAAGGGTATGCATAGACATTTGCGACAATTTGCATCCTGCCATCCTATATGTGGTCTTCAAACCTTCAGAAGTCCGGTCAGTGGCCTGGAGGGGTGTGGCATGCACAGCCATGGGCAGGAGCACAGCAGAGGAGCCAGAGTGCCCTGTGTTTCCCAGAACCTGATGCTTTCCCAAATTCCTGTTCACACTTCTCTCCATTTTACAGATGAAGTAGAGGCTCAGAGAGGTTAAGACACTTGCCCAAGGTCACACAGCCAGTGAGAATCAATGTCTTGAAGGCCCAGACACTCCCTTGCCCTCCATCCCACAGCAGCCCAGGATTCCAGCCCTCTCCTGAGGACTGGCAGGCATTGGACTCTCCCTCCTGATCTGGCCTTTCTCCCCACAGGCACCCCTGGCATCCGGACAGGCATCCAAGGCCTTAAAGGAGACCAGGGGGAACCTGGGCATCCTGGTAAGTCTGGCAACATGGGCTACCCAGGGCCCAGTGGCCCTCCGGGAGGACACGGCCTCCCGGGATTGAAGGGCGTCAAGGGAAACCCGGGAAACATGAATGACCAGCCATGGCCAGCCTTCTCAGCCGTCAGGCGGAACCCCCCGATGGGCGGCAACGTGGTCATCTTCGACACAGTCATCACCAACCAGGAAGGGCGATACCAGAGCCACTCAGGCCAGTTCCTCTGCACAGTGCCTGGCTACTATTACTTCACCTTCCAGGTGGTGTCCAAGTGGGACATCTGCCTGTCCATCGTCTCCTCCTCAAAGATCCTGGCCCAGCGCTCCCTGGGCTTCTGTGACACCAACAACAAGGGGATCTTCCAGGTGGTATCGGGGGGCACGGTGCTGCAGCTGCAACGTGGCGACCAGGTCTGGATTGAAAAAGACCCCAGGGGCCGCATTTACCAGGGCACCGAGGCCGATAGCGTCTTCAGCGGCTTCCTCATCTTCCCGTCCACCTGAGCCAGGGAAGGGTCCCCTCCCCAGCCGGGCCCTATCCCCTCCCCCGTGTGTCCCACTCTCTCACCCCTCTGGCTTCTACGCTCTGCTCTGTACAATGCGGTTGCTGTTGCTATGGCCGCCTGGAGGGAGGGCCTGGCTCCGAGCGCCCCTAGGACTGGCTGAGGACTGGCTGTCCCTCTGCGCTCTCTAAGATCA